TTTTGTCATTAAAGATTTGACAGAGTCAAGGATTTAATTTGTAAGAAAGTATCTTAGGGGAATTCTTTTCTAAGTGATTATGGGGTTTTAACTTTCCTCAATTGATGATAAAATTGAATTAGCATCGAGGACATCGGATTTTGCATTGGTCTTAGAGTCGTGATTATTAAATTTTTATGTTATAATTCTAGCGTTATGGAATAAAAGAGAGCAAGGTCATTTGTGTGCACAGAATTGAGATTATATATTAGGTGAATTTTGATGTCATACGTATATAAATCTTGTGGATTTGAAAAGGATTGAAATGATGATTTATTAGAAGAAATCTAAAGTGCTATGGAAGTTCTTATGGATGTTTATTTAGGAGGACACTATAGGAGTTTTCTGGAACAAAAAAATTATTATATCACACATGATTCAAAGTTAGAGTGAAATGATGGTTTTGTTGTTTTTTTTTTTTCATATTGAGGAATTACCCGTACAGTGGAAGACTTGGAAAATTTTTACTAATTTTAAGAGTAAGTCTCTTTTGTTAAATAGACGTGAATATGAGACATAAAAATAGTGCTTAGAATTTTGAAGGATTATGAAATGATCATTGCTTGTTATCTTAGTAAGGTTAACAAGGTTGCAGATTCTTTGAGTAGAAAGTTCTTGTATAGTTTACCATATTTGGTTACTAAAAGTTGTTTGAGGGAATTAGATAAATATGAAAGTTAGATTATGAGTGTGTTTGGGTAAATTCTTAACTGCTTGTAAGTATAGCTTAGTCAATAAAGAACATTGGAACTACACATGTAGAATAATGATTTGCTCAAGGAAGGAAGCTAGTTGGAGACATGATTTAAAATGGCGCTTATTGAGAATTATGGTAATAATTCAGTCAAGGATGGTGAATTTGGTTGTCATTAATAGGTTGATTAAGTTTGTTGATTTTTCTTCACATCAATATTGGTATGTCAATAGATAGACTGATAGAGTAATATGATAAGGAAATAGGAAGGATTATTGTATTGATCACTTAATTGATCTTGTGATTTTAAGGAATTAACGAAGAAGGTTTGGTGAAATTAAGGTTTGAGGTTTAAAATTATGATGAATTATTTCTTTGAATAGTGGTAAATGATTTTGGTCGATTTATGAATTAACAAAGTTTAGAAATTGCGATCATGAACTGCAGGGGGATTAATTTAAGTTGTTATGCAAAGATTAATTTCTAATACCTATAAGGTCTTATGATTGATTGATGAATTATTCATGAAAATCTAAGAAACCATGAGACTGCCTTTATTTTAGGAGGATGATTGAAGAGAAAATTATAAAGAAGGCATGGCATCATTGCTGTGAAATTATAGGGTACCCATAACGAGAAGGGAAACAACGTAAAAGTTGGATGAGGAATGAGGAAATGAAAAAGAAATATCAGGAGTTGTTCAGAGGCATGTTGAGAGCTTGCGTTTTAGATTTGAAAGGTGCTTGGGATGAACATCTGCCCTTAGTTGAGTTACCTGCAATAATAGTCATCGGGCAAGTATCCAAATGGCGCCTTATGAGGCTTTATATGGCAGGAAATGTAGGTCCCTAATATGTTGGGATGATGTGGGAGAAAGAAGAATGTTAAGATTGGAACTTATTCAGCAAACCGTAAAGAAGATACAACTAATCAGAGAATGCCTTTGCGTAGCTCAAGTTGGCAAAAGAGTTATGTTAATAATTAGAGGCGTGGTCTAGAATTTCAAATGGGAGAAAAGGATTTCTTGAAAGTTTTGCCAACTAGAGGAGTCATGAGGTTTGGGATCCAAGGAAAACTTAGTCCTCGGTTTATCGGTCTTTTGAGATTTTAGAGAGAGTTGGAAAAGTAGTCGACATATTAGCACTACCACCTAATTTGCTAGAAGCTCATAATGTTTTCCATGCCTCCATGTTAAGGAAATATGTTTCGGACCCTAGCCATATAATTGAGCATTCTCCATTTCAACTTAAAGAGGATTGGTCTTATGAGGAGCGTCTGGTTCATATTGTGGATAGAAAGGAATAGGTGCTAAGAAGATGAATAATTCCTTATGTTAAGATTCAATGGAGTAATCATATTGAACGTGAAGCCACATGGGAGTTAGAGAAGGATGCGAGGAAGAAGTATCCATACGTATTTGTCGATGCAAGTACAAGTTTAGGGACTAAACTCTTTTAAGGGGGAGAGGATGTAATACCCAAGGACTTCTTACTTGAGATTTAAATAAATTATTTAAGCTCTTGAAGCTCTTAGAGGGTGTATATGTGATAGAATTAAATTTGGGGTTGAAATTATAATGATGTAAGGAACTCAAAGACTAGAATCTTATAATTAAAGCTTAGGGACCAATTAACAATATTTCCTTTTTGTAAAAGCCCCAAATCAAGTGAGTCGGCAGTTTCATTTTTCTCACTTTCTTTTTGGGGAAATAGGATCGTCACCTTTCTTCCGCCTGCAAATGGGAACGTAGCTTAGGGATTTGGCCATAGTAGATTAAATCCAAGGTAATTTGCCTTCTTAAACTCAGATTTATATGATTAAAGGATGGAATGTAAAAGCTTTTCTCAATATTTGTTCATTAGGCCCTCATTTATCTCACAAATACCTAAATAGGAAACGGGCTAGAGGTTGGCAGAAATTCAGGAATGCTACCGCCCACTTATGAAGGTGCTGTCGCTCATTTGTGAAAGCATAGAAAGGGGCTTCCGTCCTATAGATTGCCGGATTAGTCGAATTGAGGAAATTTTAGGATTCAATTCTAGCAAAATGGCCTACGATTTGTAGATCTTTTCAATTATAACAAAGAAGATAGTACGAAAGTTTTAAATAATTCAAGAGGCAGTGTCGAGTGAAAAATTAATTAATTATTTGAGGTAAGTTGTTATATCCTCTAGTATTATTTTTAAAAGGTTTGTTTTATTGAAATTTATTTTACCTTTTCAGTGTATTTTATATAATTTT